TTGGGGATGCCAATTCATTTGGTAACACTTTTGAGATCACTTAAACTTAGGGTTTTGCATTTAGGTCAAGGTCATGGTCAAAATTGACTAAAAAATAGCAAGTTTTGAATGGTTACAAAAAGTTTTCCCATTAATTTGTCATTGGTTCTCTCCTATGTTCTCAAATTTCTTTAGGAATTTACGCACCTTAATCCCTTTCAGTGAGTTTATTTCACATTTTGATTTGACCTCTGATGACCCTGAGAGGTCAAATAAAAAAATGGCCGCCAGTCCGCCGCATGGTCTAATAATTGTACAAACACGCTTAACTCATGAACCAAATAGTCCAGAAAAACGTTTAAGGTGTCATTTTCAACTAACCTGGGGATGCCAATTCATTTTGGTAATAATTTTGAGATCGCCAGAACTCGGGGCTTTGCATTTAGGTCAAGGTCAAGGTCAAAATTGATTAAAACATAGCAAGTTTTGAATAGTTACAAAATGTTTTCCCATTTTTTTGTCCCCTTATGTTCTCAAATTTCTTTAGGAGTGGTTCCCCTGCATAGTTCCCCTCCTTAATCCCTTTCAGTTGGTTTATTTCACATTTCGATTTGACCTCTGATGACCCTGAGAGGTCAAATAAGAAATGGCGCCAGTCCGCAGCATGGTCTAATAATTGTACAAACACGCTTAACTCTTGAACCAAATAGTCCAGCAAAACGTTTAAGGTGTCATTTCCCACTAACTTTGGGATGCCAATTCAATTGGTAATACTTTTTATTACGCCAGAACTCAGGGCTTTTGCATTAAGTCAAGGTCAAGGTCAAAATTGACTAAAAAATAGCAAGTTTTGAATGTTTACAAAAAGTTTTCCCATTTTTTTGTCCCATTATGTTCTCAAATTTTTTAGGAGTGGTTCCCCTGCATAGTCTCCATCGTAATCAGTTAGTTTATTTCACTAATTATAGCACCAAACCATTACTTGTCTTGTAACTGACCATTTGCATATAGCATGGTCAGTGGGCAGCTAGCAGCGCTCAAACACGGGGGCGGTGGGCGATTCGCCCCCGTGAGCTACATAATCGCCCCCGTCAGGTTGCTCACGGGAGCGATTGCAAAATTAAAATCGCCCCGGTGGAATAATAAAATAAAGATTATCTTTTCTGTTATAACTTTAACACAATATTGAGTTTCAATTTTCAAACCTAAACCAATGAAATGGAACTAAGATTAGAGTGCAAGATTTCTCGTTTTATGAGTAGGCCTATTATTACCGATTCAGCTCGCAGTGCAGTGCCGCCGTCAGCAGTGGTTATAGGCCTACTGCGCCATTAGTAGCGGTGCGTGTGCACGCTGCCGCGCCATGTCTGCTGGAGCTGGAGGCGATCGCGCAATGGCAGAAACATGGTCATGGCCTGGAGAATTTTTTCGTTGGCAGCAAATAATGAACCTCGACCAGTAAATCAATATTAGGGACTTTTAGATTTGCACGATGAGAACGTGGACTGCAACGTGTGACCTCCTTTTAAGGCACTGCCAGTGCTTAAAAGGACGTCACATGTGACTGCCAGTGCCTTAAAAGGACGTAACACGTCCACGCAAATCTAAAAGTCCCTTTTGAGGAGAAGAGGAAGACCAAAATGTCGTGGAATGATATGGTAACATGGGCAGATCTACGGGGGGGGGGGGGTTAGGGGGTTTAACCCACTCCTCCCACCCCCGGCCCCCTTGTGCTATAATGTGATATTAAAGCGGGGGGGGGGGGGGGGGGAGGGGGATGCTGGAGAGGAGGACTACTAATCTATTTTATTTTTTTCAGGGGGCGGGGGGAAGTGAAGCGCCGTTTTAGCATGACTTTCTTTTTAACTCTTACTTTCACCTATCTCAGATAATCCTAAGTTTTTGGTTGCTGCTTTATATGTAGTTGATAATGGATGATTAAAATAAAGAGAGAGAGAGAGAGAGAGAGAGAACCACCATCATTTTGCAATGGTTCAGGGTTCGTGTAATGTACATTTGAAACCATTTCTTAGCGTCTCAACCCTAAAAAAATAGCAAAACTATTTTTGAGGAAAAGCATTATACTGAATTAAATAAAGAATAATAGCTTTATATTGGATCATACTAATACTGATACGGGCTAAAGACAATGTGGTATTTGTATAGAGGTATTCCAAAATGACATTCTGATAATCAACATTTGTTCTGGTATCATAATGTATATACGCATAATACAACTGATCTTTATGATTTCTTAACGTGACATAGCTTCTTCTCCCTCTGCAAACAAAACAGAAAACAAGGTTATTTAATAAAAGGACCATGCGACAAATAATCATTGTGATTCAAATTGATGCAAGGATTTTTTTGAATAAGCAATGCTTTTCACCAGAATCTTCTTTGTAAAAACGACTTTTACAAATCTCAGCCATGCAATTCTGCCACTGTGCTGTAAGATCACTTTGAGATTAGGAGAAGTGTATTATGTAATGGGTATTTCAAATTGAATGGAACGTCTCAACTCAGTAAGCATGGCTGAGATTTGTAAAAGTTGTTTTTACAAAGAAGATTCGGGTGAATAGCAGTGCTTATTCAAACAAATATTCGCATCAATTTGAATTACAATCATTATTTGTCGCTTAATCCCTTTTAATGACCTTGTTTTCTTTTTTCGTTTGCAAGGGGAGAAGAAGATATGTCACGTTAAAGACATCATAAAGATCAGTGTTGTATGCGTATATATTATATACATAGACCAGTAACAGCTATGTAGCTTGTAAATTTGTAAGAGGGAAAATGCTGATTGAAATGATAATGAAAAAATAGCAAATAATTGAGGAGTATCATAGGTACCAATTCAATGGATATTTGTATAAAAAAGAGCCCCCATCAGTAATAAAAGAGCCCCCGTGAGCCTTCTCACGGGGCTCTTTGTTCTGGCGATCTCGTAGTATTACGTAATGAATTGGCATCCCCAAGTTAGTTGAAAATGACACCTTAAACGTTTTTCTAGATTATTTGGTTCAAGTTCACGTTTATACATTAGACCATGCGGACTGGCTGCCATTTTGGATTTGACCTCTCAGGGTCATCAGAGGTCACATCAAACTGTGAATTAAACTAACTGAAAAGGATTAAGTGGAGGACTCGGCAGGTGAACCATTCCTAAATAAATTTGAGAACAAATGACAAATAAAGGAGATTTAACCTTTTGTAACTATTCAAAACTTGCTATTTTTAGTCAATTTGACCTTGACCTTGACCTAAATGCAAAACCCTGAGTTCAGGTGATCTTAAAAGTATTACCAATGAATTGGCATCCCCAAGTTAGTTGGAAATGACACCTTAAACGTTTTTCTGGTGTATTTGGTTCAAAAGTTAAGCGTGTTTGTACATTAGACCATGCGGACAAGCGGCCATTTTGGATTTGACCTCTCAGGGTCATCAGAGGTCAAATCTGACTTCCCTCCACATCTGAAAATAAATCTTATGGTGAAAGCAAACTATGCTGGAAGTTTCATGCTTTTCTCAAAATGCACAATTTTCTTGCTAAGCCGCTGCACTATATGTACATATTCTCAAAGCTTTATTTCGAAGTTTATAGAGAGGTTCTAGTTTAGTTATTCCCACACCGGTCCAGGTGATATTACAGTAATGTAAGTAAGGCAAATTAAACAATTATACAACATCAAGAATACTTTTTCAGACAGAAATACACGTAATTTACAAAGAACACCAATGTTTTTTTTTTATACATATTTTGTTAGTTATATACAATCGATGATCCTGAAAAGATAAAGTATCATCCAAAAGAATCCCAAGAAATTTAACAGAAGAGCACACGTTAAAATTTACATTGTTTATTAATATTTGTACATCATTAATA